TATACTGCTTTTGGTTAGGAGCTGATTTCTAAATAAGCAGACTCAGCAATGGAAATTCTAGAGACAGGCAAAACAAAACACGTGTTCATAAATGTACGTTTTAAAATCAACTCTCTCACAATCTTTGCCTTTGTAAGCTTTTTGAAGACGGTAAAATCAGTTGTACTAAGTTTATGATTTATAGCTGTTCTAATTTAACTTCTTTTTCAGTCATGGAAGGAAAATCTCTTAACTCCTCTGGAATATTTCTCCTCTATTTTACAGACCGATGTTGCATCTCTTCCTAGGAAGGCATTTCACTGCAGTGATTTGAGGGCAGCCATTTGTTTGCAAGTCAGACAGGGGAAGAAAAGTGGAAAACTTTGCTACAACAAATCTGTTAGTCCTTTGGGTCCTAACAAAATAGGAAATGCTGGAAATTAGGGGACTGCATTGCTTTCATTAATAAAAAAAAAATTTTTTTTAAGTGCTAATCCACACAACATAAAGCCAAACTAAGTGGGGCTATCCTTCCTAATTTGCAATGAACTGAGGTCAACTAGATTTTTATCTTAGCTCCAAACTGGGAAGGAGAAAACAGCAAGAAAGGAAACACCACAACTTGGCTAGATCCGGTTTTTCACACAAGACTGTATGACCGACAGCTCACAGGATTCTCTCAGACGATTAGAAGGACAAAAATAAGCAAGGAAACATGGTTGGCCCAAGGTTTACATTTATTTCAAAAAGAATAGTGCAATGTAGTACATAGCGGCAGTACAGGTATATCAATGTTGAAATCAAATTATATTTTCCATTTAAGATAAAAAACAAGATAGTTTTAATTCTTAAGTTATTATCATGATAAAGGTTTGATCAAAAACCACATGCATACTATGGAGCTTTTACTCACTCTTTCAACAGTTTACTGAATAGCCTGCTATAGGCTAGTTAAACAATATATATAAAGATACTGTCCCTGCCTTCAATTAGCTTATATTCTCTCTGGGAAAAAAAAATCTAAACATGTGAAACAACAAATAGTACAGGTAACATTTCAATACAAGACTATGATAGGACAGCAGATAATTAATTGACATTTTACTAACGGAAAATGTAAGTACTGTAAGAATTCAGTAGAGGAAAAATTGGTCTCTGTAGGCTGACAATATGCTTCTGAGAACAGGCATCTGAGTTAGAAAAAAATTCTGAATTTTGCCATTTACTATAATCCCATGAAGTGATACACTTAAACTCTCTGAGCCTTGATTTCATCATCAACAAAATGGGGATAATAATAATATCCATACTATAGAGTTATTATAAAAAACTAATACAGTACACATCAAAAGCTTTTGTAATCTGTAAAGAATCTGTAAATTGACCATTAGGAAGGTGGTAAAAGAAATCACACCAAGGGGCCGGCCCGTGGCTCACTCGGTAGAGTGCGGTGCTGATAACACCAAGGCCACGGGTTCGGATCCCATATAGGGATGGCCGGTTAGCTCACTGGCTGAGCGTGGTGCTGACAACACCAAGTCAGGGCTTAAGATCCCCTTACCGGTCATCTTTAAAAAAAAAAAAAAGAAGAAATCACACCAAACTGTTACTGTTAATTTGGGAAGACAGAAAGAGTTATGAGGTTGGAAGCAATGATGTTTAACGTTTTCTTTATATACTCCTCTACTGAGAACTTTTATAGTGCTTGTGCACAAATCTTGTAACAGAAAAAATTTTAAAGCTATATAAACATTAGCTGAAGTCCCCATATCTGGATACCACAACATAATTGTAAACACTAGTAACCCTGCTCCTTTATAGGCACATAGAAACAAGTCTCAGTCCTGGCTTCAATTTGAGATGTTTTTTAAGTCATTTAAATTTGCCAAGCTTAGGAATGATAACCAACTGAAATAGGTTTCTTTTCCATAACATTTTCAAATAGGCCAACCATTGTAGTCACTCAAAACTATCCATTGGTTCAAACAATCACTATGGTCAATAACTTTTGAAATGAGCAAGTTAAATAACTTTAGTTCCTCAAATTCAAGTTTTTGTCACACTAACTTCACTTTCTAAGGCCCAACACATTTAATTCAACTGAGAACTTTACAGACATAGCAGTCATCAAGCCATTTCCAAATCAATGCCAAGGACTTTCCATAGTGGCATGACAGATTTTTTAGACTGAACTTGGTCACAAATTAGCATTTCTAACATTCTAAGTATGTGTGAGCTCTTTGGGGGCAGGAGTCAGATCTTCTTAATCTTAATATACCCATTCCCTGATATAGTGACTAGCCCATGTGTAGGCAAGAGTAAATATTTGTTAACCTATTTGGAGGGAAGATAATTCTAAACCATTTTTGTAACTGGAAGCCCAAGGAGATGGGTGTATATGCTAAGGACAACATAGCCTTTATAGCTGTTTCTGGAGAAAATCATTTAAGACGCTTCCCAAGCCATAAAGATAAGTATAAATCTAAGTCCCTTGATTAAAACATCATAAAATCCCTATTGGTGTAAGAAGAACCATTATCAGACAGTACAGATGTATGAACTAAGATGAAATCATAGAGCGGTCTGATCAGAATCACCTTTCATTTGCCTTAACAAAGATTTCCAAGGCTTATTTCATTGACATAAAAAGAAGCAGGCAGAAGGCAGGCTTTCACTGTTGCAGCAGAAACAGGCCTATATGTGGAATGCTGGAGTCCTGTTGACTATCGTCTCACTAGCTCATGGTTCCTCTATGATGATTTAATGTGAGTAAACATATAGACACTTTAAGAAGGATGAAGTTGGTATTATAATAAGACTATCAGATTGTATATGGTCACACTTACATTATTTCCAGTAATTTGCAAGCAGTGACAGGGGTAAAAAAGGAAGTTGAGTCACGCTGGGCTTGCTCAAGCATTATGGAATAGACCCTAAAGACACAAGTATGAAAGCAAAAGTACAGTGATATGAAGTAATTCTGCTGATTTTCATTGATGACTTAAATCTATGAATCACATAGTCAGGGCTAATCTCTTTGTTCCATCCTGAACTGCTGGATTGTTCATTTTTACCTTACTTAATCTTCCCCACAAGATAACCAGGAACTGTAGTAACTTTTGAATGCTGTAGCAGTACGTCAATTCAAGAGAAGCAATTTTATGAAAAGTGAATCCTTTAAGGTAGTTCTCATTTGAAGCTTTTTGAAATATTCAGCCCAATGTATATAAAATAGGTATATTTTTCTGTTTCTAAAAAATATTGCAGAAGTCTAGTAGAAATAAATAACTTTGGCTGTAATTCTTTAAAGAATCCTAAATTTCTTAATTCAGTGAGCCAAATTAAGTTTGGAAGCTACCTAGAAATTTTCTCACATTTTGATCTCTGGAATGGCAATTAATCAAGTTCTTGTTTGCAATACCTCTAACTTTAATCAGAATTCTGTGAAGGGAAAGTCAGATAACTGTATATTCAGAATATTCAACAGTATATGTAATTGAAAAACAGCAACAATAGGGAAAAAAAAGTAGATGCCAGTGGACTGGTATCTCACAACCTTTGGTCAAGTGGTACTTGGCAAATTTCAACAGGTTTAGTTAACCAGAGATAAAACTAAGCAGCAGAATAACATGAAAACAAAACAAAAGTATTAAAACAGAACCAGGAATCACCAGTGAAAAACAATGTTATACCTAACAGCATGGATCTACCAGAGGCAATTTGTTAAGAGACCACAGTCGTTATTTCATAATGAATGCTTGAAATCAAAACTTTAAAGTTTCTTTAGGTCAAGCTATAGCACAGCATTCAGACAGCCAGCCAAAATAGCTGAGGGAAACTAGGAAGGCCACATGTGGAACTAATTACTCACGTAGAGGCCATGACAAAGAACATTTCTCCAGACTTTTCATGGGGGCTTCACTTTCAGGAAGTTGCTATAATTACTGTTCAAGTCTAGAGCAGCCTGCAAGCTGCTGACAGATCCAACAGACAAGGAGGAGGGAAAGAGAAAAAAAGAAAAAAAACAACTTATCTGCCCTTTTTGACTAGTGAAATACCAGAAAATAAAGTACCACAGGAAAGCTTAAAAAGGTTTCCAAATGAGCTCTGCCTTCCAGTGTTCAACTTTCTGTTTACTATTTTATCTGCCCTCTATCTTCAAATTACTCCTCTAGCCTGGATCGGACAGCAAATTTGTACTTCTACACTAACTCACTTTCAGTTGGCCACAGCAGAACTGTACATCTTGACTTTTTTTTTATAGCTTTTCCATACTGGGGCCCACTTCCTGCCCAGTTGAGGAAAAAAATCTGGCCTGAAGATGAAATGACTGCTTAACATTACACTAAAACATCTGGTACCATTTTATCCACAGACCCATGTCTGAGAGCAGGCGATTCTAGCGGTCTCTCCAGCGGCACAGCACATACCCAAACCTCCCCAGGGTGACATCATCCCATATATGGACTCTCCAGCCCAGCCCTCCCCCTTTTCCTGGTCCTAAATTCATTGCCAGTTCCCCAGTCTGCAGCAAATGTGCCACGTCAAGACTGGAAATCACAGCCCTTGAGTGTGTCTCAGTCAGTTCAGCAGAATTCAGGGGGGAAAGCCGAATACAATCCCTGGTGCAGGAAGGGAGGCTTTTCCTAAGGACCGGGAGAGGATTTTAAGTACATAGATGGAAGCTTCTGGACATCCTGCTCCGTCGCCCCAGTGTTCAGACTACCTGTTCAGGACAATGCCGTTGTACAGTAGTCTGCACATTGGTTAGACTGGGCAAGGGAAAGCAACGCCATGGACTGCTGGGGACAAAATTTGCTGTTTCCAAGGAGAAGACATTTGTTTGCTCCTTTTTTGAATCTCATATCCAGTGTTTTTCTTCACAGGTTTTGCACACTAGGGACCAAGAATCCTTCAGGGACACCGCCGACAAAGGACTGCTCGTGGGAAGACCAGCGGGTAAGGCCTTCTTGACTGCTCACCTGGTCTGCTTGAATCTCATATCCAGTGTTTTTCTTCACAGGTTTTGCACACTAGGGACCAAGAAGCCTTCAGGGACACCGCCAACAAAGGACTGCTCGTGGGAAGACCAGCGGGTAAGGCCTTCTTGACTGCTCACCTGGTCTGCGACCAGGGGGAGCCTAGGTGGGGATCCCATGATTTACATGAATGATGAGAGAAACAAGTGTCCGTGTGGTAGAGAGTGATGTATTTGATTTTAGAAGAGCAACAATGTCTGGTACATAGCAATTTACTATGTTTTTTGATTTCTGAAGATTGCTAATTCAAGTGTTTTCTTAAGTTTAAAGGTTTCAACACTTCCAAATGAAATATGAAAAACTCACTCCAGACACTTAAGAATAACTTAACAATGCTAGTTCTGAATTGTTGGAATTAATAATTCAAAGAATTAAAAGCTTACATGGATGAGGGCCGTATGTGTAATTTTTAACATCCCAAGATTGAACCCATTTTACCCCAAAGGATTTCTATTTTTTTTAATGCGCTATGGATATTTACTAACATAATATAAATACCAGGACTAATAGTACCTAACAATAACAGAAGAGCCTGCCAAGTTTTTGCTCACTAGACAATGCAAATGGGACTTGCCCAGAGATGAGCGCCGACCCACAACTTATTGAGTCAGCAACTGAGTAAATCATGGAATAGAAACCTCTGTCTTTAGATATCCCATTATGTATCTCTGCATTATATTTTTTAAAAATCCAAGAATACTTGATAATTTCTGGTCGGCGGAAACCTCTTGCCTCTATTTTACAAGATTTCTACTTCTCTGAGCATTTAAAATGATAAGGTACTTTGTCTAGAAACCCACTGATAAAAAAGGAATTTGTAAACGAAGGCAGAAGTTTTCTTTGGTCAGTTTCCAGCTGTCCTGGAGGTGAAAGAGGGTGGGAGAGGGGGAGGAAGGTGGGAGGGAAGACAACCCTCAAGCTCAATGAAATCCTAATAGAGAAAATAATAAAGTCTGGGTTGCAATGTGATCTGTGATCTGTGCTGAACTTTAGAGGTGGGTCCCTTAAAGAAAGTTCTGGAAAAATGTTACTGTCTCACCCCTAATTCCCTCAACACCCAATTATTTCTAACCCCAAACAATGCTGTGTAATGAAAACATCTGCCCTCATCTTCTACAGGCTTTTGTGAAAAATGAATGTAATCTCTTTTGTCCTCCTTTAAACTCTTTAAAGTTACGTTGGCTCCTGAACAAATCTTTTCCTAAATTATACATTTTGCAGCAGTTCAAAAATTGACACAAGTTCTCTTTTGCAAAATATTTTATTACAAGTTCCCCAAGTTTCTCTTTCATCAAGACAATTTATTTTAAAAATTACCCTTCTGATTATCTCAAAACTGGTATAAAGAACACATAAATTTTCTCATCTATTCATGGTTTTTAGTTAAATAGCATTGAGAAATTTAACTGTCTTCACTTAGACGATATAATAGTCACCCTTTCATTTTTCTATTGAGACTTGGAGAGTTCCATATTAACTATTTGTAATAGAACAAGTGAGATTTTTAAAATCAATATAGTTTCTTTTACACAGAAAAACTTAAAAAAATAAATCATTAGGTAAATTACAAAAGCTTATTTTTTCCAAAATCTTTTATTTATTTATTTATTTATTTATTTATTTATTTATTTATTTATTTATTTATTTATTTATTTATTTATTTATTTATTTATTTATTTATTTATTTATTTATTTATTTATTTATTTATTTATTTATTTATTTATTTATTTATTTATTTATTTATTTATTTATTTATTTATTTATTTATTTATTTATTTATTTATTTATTTATTTATTTATTTATTTATTTATTTATTTATTTATTTATTTATTTATTTATTTATTTATTTATTTATTTATTTATTTATTTATTTATTTATTTATTTATTTATTTATTTATTTATTTATTTATTTATTTATTTATTTATTTATTTATTTACTAACCGATACAATTACTAAAGAGGAAAGATAGCTACAAGGCACTTTGGCAATATTTAACATCTCTCAATTTTCCATTGTTCTTTTTTTTTTAATGCTAGAAATTACTGAATTTTATAACTTGCTTTCATTTAATGTGTATTTAATTTAAATTTCTTCATATTAAATGGCCTTTTTGTTTCAAGGAAACTAAACCCTACTGGTCCCTTACTTATTATTTTCTCCCTCAGGATGACTTTTAACGTGAAGTTAGAAGGGACATAAGGGTGTCCTTGGCATAAGTACAGGAGGAGAAATACAAGAATTACTTTCTAAAGGGGTAGCCAAGGAGTCCCTGCACGTGCTCCATGGAGTCCGGACAACCCATTTTGGAGGGAAACTTTCAGCAAATGAAAAGGAATAGTACTTATTTTTAAATTGCATGAGCTAAATTAAAGATCAAAAGTAAAATCTCATTTTATAAACCTCTGCTGAATGAAGACAGGATGGTACATATGCCGACATTTATACATACGCACCATGAAACAGCCGTAACTATATCCAGGGTAATTAGAATAATGTTTAATTTTATTTTGATATTACTTTATAAGGAGATATACAAATATTTTAGGGATCATGGAATCTATTCCAGAGGAAACTAACCAACAGTGAGCATCTTCAACTAAAACTACCCCTGGATATCATGGTAAGTGTGAGTATCAAAATTAAACATATGTGGTCATAAAGAGAAAACTGTTTGCAGGGTCTCTCCACACTGCACTTCATGGAAATGTCATAGTTATTTTTCATATTAGTGTGTGGATGATTGATAAATTAAACTAGGTACTGGGTAAAAAGAACCTTTTCCACCATCTAAGAGAAAGGAAATTCTGAGCCTTAGCTTCAGTACCATCATTCCTTAATTGGAAGAGGATCGATATAAAAGTGTACTTAAATTTTCAAATCTTTTTTTCTTTTAAGCCGTAGATTTCAAAATCAAAGAAAGTTTGTTTTCAATGGGACAAAGTTTCACACTGATCACTTTCCTGCAATTAGTCAATAGGCTTAATATCCTTCCTGCTTGGCATTCAGACTTTCGGCCCTGATAATATGTTTATGTTTTTAAAAGACCAAAATATACTGTCTACCTCCACCTCTTGCCTACAGACCACCCAAGTATTTCACTCTGTGGGAAAGAGTTTAGGCATAAAAATCCTAATAAATGTATTTTTTTTTCTTTTTCTTTTTAAAATAAATCTCACGCTGTTATAGGAAATAAAAAGAAAGTACATCTTGGTAATATTAAAAAAATCCACTCATCTACAAGCATCTGTGCTCACTAAAGAGAAGCCAGAGCTTTCAATTACTCTATAAGGGCTCTGCTCTTTTAAAAACAACTCATTTTACCCTACTCTAAGAAGAACAGCCCACCCATCACAATAACGTCCAAATAATAACTAAGAGACCGTCACTCAGAAACTTCGGCTTAAAATAACTAGGAAGGTCAGGCTTTAACCTGAGACAGGAAATTCCTGAGTTAAGATTGAAACTTTCTTACTTCAAATCCCTTTCTACTTTGGTGTCCTGCAAATTATGTAGATATAAATATTTACCCATTTTTCAAAGGTCTCTGATTAAGAATTTCTATCAGTTTTAATAAATAGGGACAATAAAGTAAATTTAGGAAAATAATTAAATCTTCATGTTGAATTTCCTGACTTTTCATGACAACCAGTTTCCTGAAGTTGCTTTGGTTTAATTTTACTGCAGAAGACTTAGAAGATTCTTTTCTTTTCTTTTGCCATCCTTTTCTTGCATTTTTTTTCTTAAGATTAGAAATAAAAGACACAAAAAAAACAAGGTGTAAGAACCATATTAAACAAGGTATAATAACCATACTAAAAATTACATGGTAGGATAATAATGTAAATTGCTCTTTTATATTTTGGTAGTATTTTAAGTGATAATAAATTAATATTTGCCCTATTGTCTGGGAGACAGAAAAATGAGTCTTAAATTTTTTTGTCCTTTATCTTTTTAACAAAGCTTAGGGGCAGGTTCAACATAACTATGAAGTGTGCATACGCTATATACTTACTATATTTGTGTTTTAAAAATCTATCAGAAACATAATTGTCCAAAAAGCCTTATGAGCAGAACAATAATTTTTTCAGCAAGTTTTTTTTTTTTTTCCTTCTGAAAAACTGTTATGGCTTTTCAGGCTTAAAAACTTTTTGGATACCTTGATTTATTAAAGTGTTTCACATTAAAGGATAACATATGAACTCACAAATATTTCTTTTTATTTTTTCAGGTTGCATGCATCATTCCTTTAATTGAGCAGAGTTAACTGGATCAAATTATTTATGGGAGAGAGAGGGAAAGCTATACAGAATTACAGTAATTTTTAATTTCCAACAGTGTATTCTTTGTAAGTGAACCACTCTATAATTATTTTCTGTTGCACTGAATGCAGCAGTAATATCAAAATAGTATTTTAAGGTACTTGGTTTTTGCATACTCTGATCTTGTAATTATTTAAATAGCAGACAAGTTTACTGATATTTTTTATTTTTTCAAGGAAAAAAAAGTTCCTCTACTCTGAAGTGATGACCAGAAACAGAATCAGACATTTATTTTTCTGAAATTAAATACACAGAAAATTGCACTTATCAACTCTGTTAAAACTTTACCATATCTAATCATTGCATAATAGTTCAGATTTGTATAAAACTGTTTTTTTCATGGTCTCTAAAAACTATTTTGCTCTCCATAAAGTTTCGATTTGCTACTTTCTAAAAATTTTACAATTAAAGATAAATAACAAACTATTTGTTTTTTCTTAGAAAAAAATTGCTAGATGTATAGTCCTTGGACAATAATGTGGTTTTTGTTGTTGCGTTTTTAAGAAATCCCACTTATTGGAATTTTGACTATTTGGATATTTCATTTTTAAAAGGGGAGAGAAATTTGCTACCTACCTCTATGGATGTGAATTGGTCATTCATATTAAAATAGCCAGCAGAATTATTCTCAACTAAACAGAATTAAATTTTATATCTGTATATTTAACACCATTAATTCTTTCTCATACAAACTATAAGAAAATTTTCCAAAGGATCTGGTTTTAATTTTTGGATATGAAATGAATTTTCCTTTCCTGTACTTAAGCTACTATTTTGTAATTGTATTGCACTAACAATGCCCAAACACATTCTGAGCAACACCGTGGGTAACAACCTTCCAGTTTACACCCTTTTGATTCACGGCATAGCCCAGTTGTTAATTAAGAGGTGGAGAAACTCACACCTGCCTTTTATTTGATTTTCACACCCATACTTACAAAATATGCATTTAAAAGGAAAATGAGAAATTTAAATAAGTTTCTGTTGCTTAATATAATATTGGTAAAAATATATTCCGTTATAAAATCCCATTATCAAAGCATCAGATACCAAAGTCAGCTGGTTGGGTTGCCAAATACATTAAGCTCATTAATTCTTTTGAAAATGGCTGCCGTTTCCATGTTAATGACAATTTTCTTTTTCATGGGCAAGGTTATGGTACTTATCTACTACAAGAAACATGTATAAACACAGTCTTTATCTTTAACTTCAGTACTAAAATATGCAGTTTTTGTGAAGAGGAAAAACATCTGGTTCAATTACTCTGAACTCTGACTGCATGTGGGCCAGTAATAATATGAATTGGATTTAAGAATAAACCTGTGTTTAATCTTCTTTTTCCCTTAAAATTTTAATGTGAGTTTTCTGTTATGCCAATTATCCATGTTAGCACATTTGGAACAAATGTATAAGTGTACTTTCTGAATAAAGTTAAAAGTCTAACTTGTATTTAGTTCCATAATGTTTTAATGTTTAATTCTATTGTGTGTTTTTCTCCCTTTCCCCTTACCCTCCAAAATCACCAAATCTGGAAAACAGACTGATTCTATCTGTCCATGAGCAAAGGAAACCTGAAGGAACCAAGGGCCTGGCTGGACAGAGTTGTCATGTGTCTGCCTGTCTACACTTGCTGTGCAGAACATCCGCTCACCTGTACAGCAGGCACAGACAGGCAGTCACATGACAACCCAGCCTGAATGACAACCAGCCACTGAAAGAAAGCAGCCCTCACACCATAGCATCTACACCAAGAGCTACAACCAAAATGAGGGGCTTGTGGGCCTGGGGTTTTAATCTGTTGGTTTAATATCTAACTCGTATGTATTATTTTATTTTGATTCAAATATTTTAAACCCACCAAAAGTAAAGTGAGTGGTGCCTATGAAATATAATAAAACCCATTTCTGAAAATGTTCCTGTGCTTTCTATAGTTCTCTTTTCCTAATTGTTGCCAGTAAATCACTACCCTTGACATTTATTGTACACAGCTTTGCAGTTCCCCATAATCAATATTAAAAAGTCAGTATAACAAAATGATATAATTTCAGTCTAATGCTTGGCAAACAATCAATTATTCTGATAATTCTAATCCATAAACTAGATATAGTTTTTTATGTCCTGGCTCTTTCTTCCAGGGGGTTCTGGGTACAGAGTGAGAGAAAGAAGAAAAAGGAGGAAAAAAGGATCAAGTATTTTGAATTAATAAACTCTGCCAGTCTGGGTCTGCATAAAACATAGTGAAAAGAGTATTTATTTCCAACATGATTTTCAAATGTATTAAAATAATTGCTTTTCCTCTTTTAATATATGGAGAGTTGAAACTGAGACTTTGATATTTCCAAGTGTCATGATATACATAGATTAGTTCCTGTGTCATTGTTTAATTAAGGGGCTTACCCTAAAGTTCTAGGAGGGGAATTTATGAGGCCAATGCATTCACTTGGAAGATATGCTTCCATTAACTGTAAACTTTCAAATTCTTGAGATGTTCAGGCAATTCAATATTTTCAAAAGCACAAGAAAAGTGGTTAATGCATATACAACGTATATTTTGCCATATCTTTTGAGGAAATGCAAAACTTTATGCACTATTAACTGGAGTGAAATGATCAGGGCTGGCTTTTGTATATAAATATTTCAAACAGTTAAGGGTAAAAGTGGAAAGATGGGTAAAATTAGAAATTTGTCAACTTTGATTTGCTTCATTAAAATGCTTGAACTTCAGTATTTAAAATTAATTTTTTTCTTTCTTAGAAAGATTCTGTTGAAGCTTTAAAAAATATAATACAAGACTACCCAAAACTGTTTTTTAAAATTTAATAATTAAACATTTCAAGCATATATTTTGGACTAAAGTAAACTATTTTTTATTCAGATACTTTATTTTTAAAATAAAAGGTTTAATCTTAAGGCTAAGAGCCCTATAAGTTTCAAAATTCTTGATTTTGTGATTTTTTTTTTTTTTTTGTCTTTTTTTTTTTTTTCGTGTCCGGCAACGGATCGCAACCCTCAGTGTCACGCCCGTACCGGACCGGGACCGGCAATGGGATCGCAACCCTCGGTGCTGCGCCCGCACCTCGCCCAGCCAGTGAGCGGGAACCGGTCTGTATGTGGGATCCGAACCCTCGTCGGGAGCGCCGCCGCACTCCCAAGTGGCGCACTGTAGCAGTGCGCCACCAGGCCGGCCCCTATTTTGTGATATTTTAACCAAACCTGACACTACAGTTTCTTTAGGGGAAAAAAAAATAAGTGATGGGGCAAAACTATGAAATAAAAATATGATTAACTCTAAATGTCTTGCATTTAAACAGTCTGGCCTTATGGAAAGATGTCTTCTGCTAAAATTCACTTCTGCTTCTGCAAGACACATTGTGGAATGCAGGTTTTTAGACTTAAAGTCTTGTGACTAGCAAATAAAAAAAGTTGGTTATTATCCTAAATAGTACTTCACAAAATGTAAAATATAAACAGGAAGACAATATAAGAATGTCTCATGGAATATTAACATAGTTCCACCCCAATTTTAAATGCTTTCTGCAACCTGCTGCAAATGCTGCCTATAGAAGTTCACGTATGGAAATGTCCTATTGAACCCTGCAAGACAGTCCGAGGACAGTGCTCAATAGCTCTCAGGATGCATGATGATGGAGTCAGAACATTAATGAGACTGTTCCAGTCCACTAGAGTCCAAGGGGAAACCTAGGAGGGCAGCAGAGTCATCCTAAAGTGAGGCACTCCAGGATAATGTGTTAAATATTTTTTCCTTAAAATATGAGATTAACATCTATTTTTTTTTTACATTTTTATTTAGCTCTCAAAAAATGCTTGAAAGAATATTTTATATACATTCTAAATTCCTTAAATGAGGCATATGTAAAATTTTTACTCTTCTGGGAAAGGGTAATATGAAGGGTAATAATGTTCTTCCGACACAAACTTTTGAGTAGGGCAAACAATGCATACTGGGGAGTGGGCTTGGACCTTAAAGTATTTTTAACGAATCTGAAGTAGTATTTGCCATTAGGGTTTATTAAATGATACTTGTTTTTTTCAAAATTATGAATCTTTGGATAATGCCAGAACATGGAAATGTTTGCATGAAATAATACTGCATTAAAAAGTGTAACATAAGATAGTTTATGTGAAAGACACACACAACTATGATTATGGAGAAATTTAAGTAAAATAAACAGATTAATATTCAATATTTATTGGGACACTTTTGTAAAAATACTTAAGTTTTGGCTAACCAAAACAACTCAACAAGGAGCGTGAACAGAGCTCGAAGGGTTGATGCTGACGTCCTCCACCCCAGGAAGCATGCAGACCTCCCAGGAAATATGCACAATCTTGAAAGTATAAGTGAAAATGGAAAGAGAGCTAAAGGTTTCTATAACTTCTTGGTCTCACAACTTTGACCATCCAGGGATATAGCTGTCATTTTGTTTCCTATTACCCAAGTTACATTTGTCATCTGTTACAGCTACACAATAAAAACAATACTAAGTAAATATCCCTATAAGGAAATTATATAATCTCCTTATCAAGCTATCCAAACACTTCAACCCACAAAAATGAGGCCTGTAATTTCTTAAGAGTCCAAAGAATGTCCTTATTTCAATGCAGATTTTGGATTTTCTTCAATAGTGCAAGGTTAGTACATTTCCACTGGAATTGCTTCTGTTGCATTACTCTTCTTTCCTAGGATTATCCCATTGTGATTTTAATCTTTATGTTGGACTATAGAAATAAAATATTGACTAAGTACTTTTATTATGCTTGAATAAGCAGTCCCCTTTCTTTATAGATTTTAACTATCTCTGTTCAAACTTAACACATTTATACACTTTTTATGCATTTCTCATTGTTATTAAGAAAAATAAGGCTCTTTACTCCTTGACTCAGAGTATCCTATTCTCCTAAAATTCATATTTCAGACATATTTTTAAAAGGTCGTCACTTTTCTTCCAAATACGATTTTAAAGTATTGTAAAATTATACAGACCAAAAATCCTTTTGAAATGAGTTTCTGTTTTATTCCTACATCTTGCTCTTTTCTAAATCCCTCCAGAGAACTGTTCAATATATATTTACAACATGTGAAAATAATATTTCAAAGTTTATTTTCTGCTGAAATGATCTTTAATCCAGGAAGTTACATTTATATAGTCAAAGGAGGGAAAAAAAATCCATTAACCTTCAATAATGAAAATTAACAAAATTCTAAGACAATCTGCCTCTAATGGTAATTTTATCCTGTAACTCAATAATCAGTTTAGGCAGTTGATATACAGGACACAATGAATTATGCTGCATTTATTCGCTTATTTGCTCAATCATACCTTCACTCAATGGATATTTAATTAGTGGCTCCTATCAGCATTGGGTCCTCTGCTGGTAGAACAGTGAACAAGTCAATAGCTCCTGGTCTCAAAAGCCTTATGGTTTGTAGGTGTACTTGGCATGTGTGATGAAGTATGGTCAATATTCACCTTCTGAAAAATCTCTTAAATCCATTCATTTCTATAAATTTCAATCAACTTGCCCCTGCTCAAGCCACCATTATCTTTTCTACAGATCACAGCAATAGCTTTCTAACAGTGCCCAATACAGTTTTGCCCTTTCTAAACCATTCTCCCCAAGAAAACCGACAGGATCTGTAAAAAATTCAAATCTGATCATGTGACTCCCTAGCTTAAAACCTTCAAAGGCTTCTCATCATTTTTTTTCATCATTTTTTTTTTTTTTGTCTTTTTCGTGACCAGTAAGGGGATCGCAACCCTTGGTGTGGTGTTGCCCACACCGCACTCAGCCAGTGAACGCACTGGCCATTCCTATATAGGATCCAAACCCGCAGTGGGAGTATTGCTGCGCTCCTAGCGCCGCACTCTCCCGAGTGCACCACGGGGCCGGCCCATCATTTTTATGATAAAATTCCTTAATCTTTAGAGTCCCTTTCTCTCTTTGCTCCAGTCACACTGGCTTACTTCCATTTCTTAGATCCATCAGGCTCAGTTCTGCCTCAGGACATTAACACACCGCTTCTCTGACCACCCAATTTAAAGTCCCCCCATCTTGTGACCCCATCCAATCTCTATGTCAAACACATCACTGGCTTTATTTTTTCATAGCCCGTAATAAATATCTGATAGGTTTTCGTGTTTGTTTGCATATTTTCCTTACTGGGAAATATCCTTGAGTTTCTTGCTAACCATTTTACCTTCAGTGACTAAAGATAGTGCCTGGTACATAACAGGGGCTCAGAAAATATTTGTTGGGAAGTGTTCAGGTGATTAGGAGCACAGCACTGACACTCAGCAGCTGGCTAAGTTACTTTTTCTCTTTGAGCCTCAATCTTCGACTCTAAAATGGAGCATGTAAGTGAAGTGCTCAGTACCTGGTAAACTAGAAATAGTCAATAACTGTTAACCATTACGATGATCATCATCATCATCAAGATCATCATTCAGATTGAAAGCTGGCCTTCATGAATTTCAGCAGGTATAATGAACAGGGGGATTGCTCTTCACGACTACTAACTAGGGGGCATCTTGTTACCTGGAAGGCGATTTGGTTTGATTGAGCATTTTGACCAGTTTGGATATGCAATGGTGAACCTGCAGGGAAGGCTGACTAATGCTGAGAGATGAGATGATGCATACACACACACACACATATAATATATACATACATACACACATCCATACATACACACATGCGTGCACACACATGCACGCACACACACACGATAGAATGAGAAACACTTTGAGTTTGGGGC